CCTGGCCTCTGCCACGCCCCGTTCCTCCTGGCCATCTCCGCCGCGTCGTCCTCATCGCGCTTGATCTGAACGGCCCGGGCCCTCAGCGCCGCCATCCTAGCCTCGCTGCCCGTGCCCGCGTCGGCCTCACCCGACTCCGCCTGCAGCTCCGTGTCGACAGAGCTCGCAGCATCATCCTCGCCTCCATCGTCCTCTGGGGTGGCACTGCGCCTGGGCGGGCTGCGTGAGACTGTCCTCTCTCTGGGTGGCGGCATCGGCAAGGGCTCCCTGACACGGGCACGCGGCGCGCCAATGCTCCGCGTGGGCCGGGGGGGGACTGAGCTAGCCCTCCTTGCCGGGCTCGCTGGGCGTCTCCTTTCCTCCGACGACTTAGACCGCTCCTGACCCTCAGGCGTGGCTGTCACGCCGTGTCTCTCCTCAAGCACCTGCGGGCGCAACTCCTGAGCCCGTGCTAGGGCGTGCGCCGCATGATCCAAAAGGCGGCGGTACTCTTGGTTCGCCGCGCTCTTCCCGATGGTGCGTCTGCCCTCCGCGCGCTCCGCCAGCTCCTTGCACCTGCGGCCTGCAGCTTCGGGGTCGACCCCTCGGCCACCCCCGCCGCTCGTCTCCTGCCTTGACGACGAGGCTGCAGCCGTCTTAGAGCCCTCATCCTCAGACTTCACTTCCTCCTTCACCTTAGTTGGCAGCATCCTCGCAACGAGCTTGATACGCGGCTCGTCTTTGCGGGCCTCCGCCTCCGCGCCCCTCTTCCCCCTCCCCAGCTCACGTGGCGAGGGGGGTGGGCACTCGGGTGACGGCCCCTCTTCCTCAACATCATCGTGGAGCGCCGCCAGCGCCCTAGCCCGACCCTCCACCACCGCGTCGTCCAGCGCAGGTTTCTTATGTTTATTCTTCTTCTTGCGGCTTCCGCCGCCTCCTCCACCTCCTTCTCTGGGTTGCTCCTCTCCCTCGCGGCCGTGAGGCGCCTTCTCGCAGTACTTATTGTGCGTGACGCCTCCTGCGGCCCAGTCCTGCTCGCGGTGGCGGCCCCCGCACTTGTCGCAGCAGTAGCCCGGCTTCCATAGCCTCCCAGGGGTGCTGTGCTCCAGGTAGGGGCACCCCGGGTTGAGGCACGGGGCCAGCTCCCTGACCGGCCTCCCTTCCTGGGCTGGAGCCTGGGTGGGCCCCGCCCCCACCGCATCGGCCGCGCCTGCGCCGCCCGGGGTAGTGTTCTCTCGGCCCTGTGGAGTCCAGCCTCCCCACCTCTCGTCGTCGGAGACAGCTCCGGCGCGCCTGTCCGGCCCGCTCGGGGGGATCGGATCGCCGAGCTGGGCATCGCTGGGCAACGACCTGCGCGGCAGCGGCGCCGCCCGAGCTGCTGCCATGGCCGCCTTCTCTGCCTCGGCTGCCCTCTGCGCCGCCAGAGCCCGATCCCGTGCAATAGAGATGGGGTAAACCCTATGACGCATCGGGCAACCCACATCTCGACCCTCGCCTTGCAAGCCACAGTACTCACACCACTCGTGTCTAGCGCTAGGGTCGCCTCCTGGGAAGGGCACGGGTGGCGCCTCGCCCCCCTCCCAGGTTCTCCTCTGCGTCACCAGTGGCGGCGACCTGCCGCGAGGGGGGGAGCGTGACGGCAGTCTCCCGCCCACGGTCTCCTTGGGCGCCGGCAGCGCCCAGCCTGGCTGCGGCTCAATCGGTGGCGGCGTGGCCTGCGCCTCCTCGCCTGCTGCCTGGGCTCCAGGCCCTCCTCTGCTGCCCGCCTCCTCAGGTCGCGAGCGCACCTGCGCTGCGCTCGGGGGCGCTTCCGCCACCGCGTGCTGCTGCTCCTCCCAGACGGGGGGCAAGCGGCCACCCGGTGCCGCCTTAGGCGGGGGACGCCTCGGTGCCTCCTCTCCTGCTGCCTGGGCTCCGGGACCGCCGCTGCCGCTCGCCTCTCCCCTGGGAGAGGGGTGCCTCGGTGCCTCCTCGCCTGCTGCCTGGGCTCCAGGACCGCCGCTGCCACTCGCCTCCTCGCAGGCCGGTGGGCGGTAGCCTGCCTCTCTCTGCATCTTCTGGAGGTCCTCATACTGGGCCTGACAGTAGGGCCCATGGGCTTCGCCATCCGTATGACGGCACGTCCGACAGCAGTACCAGCCCCAACCCTGGTCGAGGCGAGCGCAGCTCCTCCCGCATCCATTCCAGCACTGTGGCCCTCCGTCCGGATCACGCCCAGCACGCAGAGAAAGCACGTCTGGGCACGGGTCGTCGAGCAAACTGTGCGCCCGCCTCTGGCCCAGCCCGCCGTCTTCATCTGGGAGCATGCCGCACTTGGTAGCCTCTCCTTCCTGAGCGCTGCCGCCCGGCCTCCTGGGTCTCTCGGGCACTCGCGACATGCGCGCAGCCACGTCTGTAGCCGCTCCCACTGCGCGTCTTCTCTTGCTAGCGAGCAAACCCCCGTCTTGCCAGCGTCCTGCTGCTGCCGGGAGCTCTCCGGCTGACATCGCCTCCTCGATCATGGCGTCCGCCAGCTGGGGGGTAGCTTCTCTGACACCCCAGGCCACGAGGTCGCTGGTCTCGGTGTCCTCCTCAACTGCCCGCCGAAAGATCGCTGGTGCGCTTCCTGTGAGCTTCCAGATCTCCTCGCCTCCAAGCTGCCAGACTCCCGGGAGCGGGCTCCGAGCATCATGGAACAAGATGCGGTCTCCAGCCCCCCCCCCCTGCCAGCGCTGCGCTCCTAATGCTCGGCGACGGACCTTCCGATGAGTACACCAGCTCCTTGGCGCTTCCTCCTCTGGGGTGCCAGTGGCCGCAGGGTCGCGCGCCATCAGGGCCCCCCGTTTGGGGATACGCGGGTCCAGGACCAGCTCGCCATCCTCACTGCTGAGTCTGATGGTGCCCTGGCTGAGCTTGCCGACGCACGACCTGACGCTCTGCGGCTCCACGGACTCCTGGCCCAAGCTCATCGCCTCCCCTCCGCCTTGGACCGCCAGGACCACCCTGCGATGCTTCGCGATCGGGTCACCCAGCCTCGAGCAGCACACTTCCACCTCCTCCCAGCTGTAGACTGCGTCCCTCAGTCTCCGCAACGCAGGGCCTAGCTCAGCGGGGCCTGGCGCGACTGCAATAGCGACCGCCGCCTTCACCTGGACCGCAAACTCCGCCCAGCGCCTCGCCTCCTCGCCGCCGTCATTGGTCAAGCTGGCTGCCGCCACATCTGCATGCCCCGGGCCTCTGGCGTTCCATTCTGCCACGCCTGGGGGTCACGCAGCGTGCCCCGCACCTGGGGCTCCGGGTGCCGCGAGCATCCAAACGACAGCGCCCCGGCGAGCCCCCGCTTTGCACAAGGCACCCGGGACCCGCGGCACCCCGCCGCTCGACTAGAGTAGCCGCCCGCCCCGGTCTCATCTGGAGGGTCCGCGGACGGTGCGGCTCGCGCCGAGCCACGGCCAGCTGCTTCGCGACCCTGGTGTCTGCGTCACTCTGGCCCTCCCAGACCAGTGCACGATGGAGCCAGCCCCGCTCGAGGTGCTCGGCCCAGCTGCCACGCAAGTCGACGACCTCCAGACCCCTCGACCTGGCCAACTCCACTGCCTCCTCGTCCTCGACCCTAGAGAAGGTGTCCGCGGTGACGTTGTGGTACGTACGGAAGTAGGCGCTCGCGACCTCGTAGCCGTAGACTGCCTCAAGGCACGTGACCACCGTAATCAGGAAGCTGGCGTGCCGTTTCTTCGCCCTGCGGTTCTGGAGCCAACAGTGCACGTTGTAGTTGTCCCCGCCGTGCATCACCACCCCGCGTTCCCACCAGCCCTCCTTGCCTGCTTTGGCCGCGAACGTCACGAGGTTCATGAACTCGGCGATCGCGATGATGGCCTCCTCATCCTCCTCTACGCCTACCGCCTCCCGCAACGCCTGCATGAAGTCAGGCACAGCATGGAAGGCGCACTTGGCGTTGACCCAGTCGACCGTGGCGATCCTCTGCGGGGTGGCGTCGCCAGTGGCCCATATCACGCGATACTGCCACCCAGGGAGCGCCAACTTCTCATTGATGGAGAGGACGCCAGGCAGCGCGCCCGCGAAGCGTGAGCTCCACTTCGTCCTATCTGCTGCCAGGACGCGCGCCACCTCCGTGGCCTGCCAGAAGTCCGTCCACGCCGAGTGTCCTTGCTGATCGTCGCTCCTGGGACCTGCAAACCTCCTCGCGGAGCGGCTCTCCGCTGTTCCGACGCGGAGCACTCCGGGAAATGGGGCACACACGGATCTTTGGTCCAGAGGGCTGGGGATTGCAACCATTGACTTTGGGGGCACGCCCGCTCCGTGCCGCGGGGCACGGCGGCGGATGTTCAGGACAGCGGCGGAACAGAGAGCGAGCCGCGCGCGATATCGGTACGAGGGAAGCAGGTGGGGGAGGGGGGGGGGTCCTGTTCCAACCCCCCCCCTACCAAGCGACCACAGAACGCGCTCTTTCTGAGATTGGAAAGGCAACGGATTCCATGGATTCCACCGTCGAGTGTGACACGATCACGAATGTGGGTCTTGTAATCGCACATGCTGTCTAGAAGACGGCATTGCTCGACTTCGGGATGATGGGGGAGAGCGTGGTCCATGTATGTGTGTTTGCTCTCGGCAACCAGGTGTTATTACCATTGAGGTTCATCCACGGTGATCGGGTGGCTTCTTCAGAGGACCAGGCGTCCGATTGGTTCTCATATGGTGACGCAGCAGGTACGTTTCGACAGTTGAAGAATTGGGCCGCTCAGTCGACATGTTCATTGTTCGTTGTTTTTCTTCGTCGAAGCAGAGAGACGGCGCAAGATTGTGGTCGATTCTACAGTCGGTCCTGATTAGTAGGTCGACCCTGCCAAATCAAGGGTACCCCTGTGTCCTGTGTCTCGCGACCCATGCCTCCCACATTCCTATGGCAACGTGGCTTCCGGAAGGGTCTTGTGTCCTCGCGTGTCATTTGCAGCCAAGTCCGGCTGTGTTTCCAACGCTGGCCGTTGGGGAGGGTAAGCGTTGTTGCGCGCCGTCGCCAGCCCAGGACATGTCGAAGGAGGAGAAGACGAAGATCCAGCTGAGCTTGCGCGAGAAGCTGATCGAGCCGGAGAAGGCCCGCGAACGCAGACGACCTCTCGGGGGGGCGACCTCGCGACGGCCATGACGACAACGGCCGCGATGTCAGCCCATGGCGATGTTAACTCGTCTTCGTCCTCTCTCTCCATCCGTCTCCTCGTGTCCTTCCGCATCTCTTCCCCTCAGACGAGGGAAGGGTCCGTACCGCTACCCCCCCTTTCCTGGTTTCCCCCTTTTTCGATCTCGATCTCCTCGGAGACCCTCGTTGCCACCGCTGGATTCGCTTCGAAATTCTGGTCAGAACGCACCCAGGGAAAGATCCAGGGAGTAGCGGTATCGGTACAGTCGGGGCGCTGAAGAAGGAACCCTTTTCGTTGGGGAGGGGCTCCGTGTTCCTTAGTCGTTTCCCTGTTTGTCTAAGGTTTTTCGTAGGTTTTCGATGTGGCAACTCCCTCTTCCTCGTCCGCAATCCTCCGCCTGGTCTCCTCCTCCGCCTCCTCTTCCTTCTTTCCCGTGTCCAGCTCAGGCTTGCACACGAGCTCGGCAAATAGTTGTCTGTGATCCGCAAGCCCAATGAGTTCACAGTTCGGGTCGACCTTCTGGTCATGAGGTCGGCCTTCGTGGGGAGGCAGATTCGAGAACGCCCAAGCCTTCCACGCGCCGAAGATTCGCCAGCAGCAGCTGGGCGTCTAGCAGGGGCACGTCGAGTGGGCGTGCTGGCCTCTCCGAATTATGCCGACACCATGACGGCTGTAGGCTTAAGTCGGGCGTGTCCCCCTACAGGGGGATTCTCTACGAAAAATAATACATTCAAATAATACTCCCACATGGCCAAACAAATATAAAAAAATAGTCCCCAGAGCATTTTCTCTACTATTTTTCAATGTTCCTCCTGTAGAGGGACGGGCCCGACTGAACTGTAGGCGTAATCCCCGTCACCGAGTTCACCCATGTCCTGAATAGGAGGCACATGCGAACCCTACCCCTACCCCCCACGATTTCGGAGGGGGAGCGGAGTGAACCCCACCCTCCCCTTCAGAAATCGTGAGGGGTAGGGGTAGGGTTCGCATGTGGCCCCCTAGCCCGGGTCGACTACGGTTGGACCGCGAGGTACAGTCGGCCCGGATTGGTAGGTCGACCCTGCGAAATCAAGGATACCTTTGTGTCCTGTGTCTCGCGACCCGTGCCTCCTGCATTCCTATGGCCATGTGAGCCTCGGCAGGGTTCTGTGTCCTCTCGCGTGTCCTGTCCAGGGTAGTCCTGTAGGGTTTGCCTGTGGCCTCCTACTGAAAGGCCCCGCGGGCCCCCCACCGAGAGCTCGCGGCGCTGCCCGACGAGGCCCGCTGCGGGTGTGTTGTGAGACTGTGGCGCCCGCCGGCCTTCCCCGCGCGGACATTTTCGACCGCGCGCTGGGGGCGGCGCCGGAGAGGCGCCCCCCAACGGGGGGGTCCCGCGCCGATGCGAGAGATCCAAGGGCGCCCCCGAAGGCGCGAAGTGATTCGCGCCTGCGCGCTTCGCGGTTCGGCTCCGATTCCTCCTCAGCCTCCTCTTCTCCCCTGGGGAGGCGGCGCGAGAGCTCGGAGTCATTCGCACTTCGCGCTCCGCGCAGCGCGAAGCGCGAAGCTGGGAGCCCTTGCCCCAGGGGGGTCCAGCGCCGATGCGAGAACTCCGCGCGGACCTCCGATGTTGTTGCATGTTTGTGTCATTGTTCGTTCCCCGATTCTCACGTCGTCCTCGCCCCTCCGTCGTCTCTTCTCCTCCTTCTCTCTTCAGCTCTTGGCTTTTGTTGCCCCCCCTGGCGCTCCAGTCAGGGCTCCTGCAGCTTGTCTTCCGGGTTGCGTGGAGTGCAGCCTCCCCCTGGTCCTCTAATGCAGTCGCGGCGTGTATGACCTCCCCTTCGCTCAGCTCCCCAGTCGCACAGGTCAGCTCGACCAGGGTGAGATCGGGCCGCCGTCGGGCGGATCTCAGCCCATTCCTGCCACGCGCTTTCAAGCTCCGCGGCGACAAAACGTCCACGTGGGCAGAGAGGAAGCATCGGCTTCGCATTGCTCTTGATGGGTAGGATGGGGGGTCCCAGATTGAGGGCCCTTCTCCCAGCTGCGTGGCAGCGTGGGAGTAGATGTTCCTCACGAGAGATAAAACATATGGCAAGTAACAACAGGGATACTTGCCACTGTTTCACCCTAGGGCCCCAGAATGGCTTCCTGGAGAGCCTGGGATACCTTCCTCATCCCCCGCTTCCCTCTCGCTCGTTCTCGTCGCCGCCCTCCTTCTAAACCTCGTCCTCATCTTGTTCTCCTCATCCCCCTGATCCTCATCCGCGCTCCACCCCCCTCCCCCCTCGCTCTCCCAGGGCCCCTTGTTGAAGTACCTGGGTTACCTTCAGGCGTTCCTGGGGGACAACGACTTCATGGTCGGCAAGAGCCCCACGATAGCCGACTGCCAGGCCGCGCGGTCGGGGCCACTTTCCCCTTCTCGCTGTTGTCGAAGTCGTTCTCGTCGGCGTCGTCATTGTCGTCGTCGTTCTCCCCCTCTTCCGACTCCTCTTGCTCCAGGCCCCTCGAGGTGTCTTCCGCCTCCTCGCCTTACCCTCCGCCAATTCCTGTTCTCGCATGATCCTTCCCCTCTCCCATTCCTGCCCATCATGGGCTTGTTTTCCACCACCACTATAAGGTGGAGGGTGGAAAGAGGTGGAAGAAGAGGAGTAGGACGAAGAGGAGGAGGAGGAGAAGGAGGAAGAAGAGGAGGAGGAGGAGGAGGACCCCCTCCCCCTCCTACTGATGGTGGTGGTGGTGGAAAACAAGCCCACCAGCCCACCCTTCCCTCTCCCATCCCTCGTCTGCCCTGTGCCTACTCGTGTTCCTTCTCCTCCATCTTGTCCTCCTGGACTTGCTCCGCCACCTCCCCCTTGCCCGTCGACACCCCCTGTTCCTAACCACGCTTGGATCCAGACAGATCGGCCGCACTTGGCTATGCCGAGGGTTTTGGAGTTGCCTACACTGCATTTCCTCCTCCTCCTCGTCTGTCATGTTCTCATATAGCGTTGCTCGCGTAGGCCTGCCTGGGAGCCCTGGCTGTTCGGAATATGCCCCGCAGCAGAGAGGAGGCAGACGGCCATCCTCGCATTCCTCTCGTTCCTCCTCTCTGTCTTTTCTTCCTCCCCTCTCGTTGCTCCTCCGCCTCCTTCTTCATCTTCCTCACTCACCTCTCCTTCCCTCCATCCTTCTGCCTCCTCCTCACTCATCGTTCCTCCCCCTCGTCCATCTTCCATCCTCCATCTCCGACGGCGGCACTTGCAACGACGACGACGGCGACAACAAGCAGGTGCGACGACGGCGACGGTCGACAACGACGACGCCGCCGCCAACGACGACGACGACCATCAATGTCGACGACGCCGCCGACGACGACGGCAGCTTCGATGGCGACGGCGCGGTGCGCCGAGATCGTGCCTCGCCTCACCCACCTGACGAAGGGCATTCTCGACGGCATCCCGACCACGATCCTGGACAGTTCGCCGCCGCGCCCGCGGGACGGCAGTGGAGGAGGAGGAGGAGGAGGAGGAGGAGAGGAGGAGGAGTAGGAGGAGGACGAAGAGGAGGAGGAGGAGGAGGAGGAGGAGGAGGAGAAGGGGGTCAGAGCAAGCCCAGGCTGCGGCAGCGATGCCGCAAGCCTCCACTCCGTCAGCGGCCCCCTCTCCAGCGGGTGTCCCCGAAAGGTCCCCGGAGGCCCGAAGAGGGGCGGAAACGTGCAATCACCGTCCGCAGACGTCCGAGATCACTCCCGGATCCTCGAGGGCCGAGGGCAGAAACCGGCAGGTCCCTGCGGCCGCTGCCCTTCACCTCAAGAACGGCTTCCTGGTCCAGACCAAGTACGAGATCTACGTGAAGTCCTTCAACGCACCGCACCTGATCATCTTCAGCAACAAGCCCCCGGAGATGAACAGGCTCAGCGAGGACCGCTGGAACGTGATCACCAGCCTCGACGACTTCAAGACCATCCACTGCGGGGAGCACCCCGTCGAGGGGCCAGAGGCCCCCGTAGGCCGAGGGCTCCATCTGCGGATGGGTCCGCCCTCCCCCTCCGCCCAGCAGCCGCGCGGTCCCTTCGGTCCTGGCGTCTCGATTTTTTCGAGCCGGACCTTTTTCGCCCGCTGTCGGGCCCCGGGCCCCTCACAAACCGATGCGGCTCGACCAACGACGCAGAAAGATGGGGTCTATGGGGCTTTGGGCTTGTTCGCAGCGTCGGATCTCAGGGGCGCCACGCTTCGTTCTGCAACGCACGCGACGAGCGGCCTTCATCGGTCGGAGGTGAGGGGGTGAGATCGAAGTGGAACGGAGAGCCCCGCTACCGGGAAATCGATTTCGGTTTCGTGTTCGTGCGTGCCGTGCGGGCGAGGCGAAGCTGCGTGGGCGGGCGATAGAAAGTCTCCTGCGGCTGAGGCGCGGCCGGACCAAATGACTTCCTTCCGGGCGGCCGGTGGCCCGCGGTGTCCCGCCGGTGTCCCGCTGGTGTCCCGTGTGGCGGAGGCGCGGCCGGACCAAATGACTCCCTTCCGGGCGGCCGGTGGCCCGCGGTGTCCCGCCGGTGTCCCGCGGTGTCCCGCGGTGTCCCGCGGTGTCCCGCCGGTGTCCCGCGGCGTCCCGCGAAGATGATGATGATGATGATGATGATGATGGTGATGATGATGATGATGATGATGATTATGATGATGATGATGATGATGAAGAAGAGATGAGGATGATGATGATGATGATGATGATGACGATGGTGATGAAGATGAAGATGATGATGATGCTGATGCTGATGATGATGATGAGATGATGATGATGGTGTCCCGATGAAGGTGATGATGTTGATGATGATGATGCCGACGATGATGATAGTGTCCCGATGATGGGGATGATGATGCTCATGATGATTATGTTGATGATGATGGCGGTGATGGCGTCCCGAAAATGATGATGATGATGATGATGATGATGATTCCGATGATGTTGGTGATGATGATGATGTTGATGGAAATGGTGTCCCGGCGGTAATGATGTTGATGATGCTGTTGATGATGATTATGGTGTCCCGATGATGATGCTGCTGATGATGGTGATGATGACGATGATGGTGATGCTGATGGTTTCCCGATGATGATAATAATGTTAATGACGATGATGATGATGTTGCTCCTGATGATGATGGTGCCCCAACGATGATGTTGTTGATGGTGATTCTGTCGATTACGATGATGCGCTGATCATGATGATGGTGTCCCCAGGATGATGATGATATGGGTGATAATGTTGATGATGAGAACGACGGTGATCATGATGGTGTCCCGATTATGATGATGATTATGATGATGCTGCTGATGATGATGACGGTGACTGTGTCCCGGTGATGATGATGATGTTGATGATGAGATGATGAGGGTGATGATGATGATGATGATGATGATGTTGTCCCGATGGTGATGTTGACGTTGATGATGATGTTTATGATGATGATGACGATGACGGTGCCCTCATGATGATGACGATGTTGGTGATGATGTTGATGTTGTTGATGTTGATGATGATGATGATGATGGTGACGTTGATTGTAAGAGCGATTGTGGGATGGATAGTGAGATCGATATTGAGACCGAATGCGAGATCGATTGTGTGATCGCTTGTGAGATCGATTGTGAGATCAATTGAGAAATCGATCGAATGAGATAGATCGAGTGAGATCGCTTGTGAGACCGATCGAGTGAGATCGATCGAGCGAGACCGATAGTGAGATCGATACTGAGATCGATAATGAGACCGATCGAGTGAGACGTTGGTTCCCCCCCCCCGAACCTCCTTATCACCCGAAGGGTGGTCGTATAGGTATAGTTCTGTTCCGGGATAGAACCGCCCGCTAAGCCGCGCAGCGCTTGCACGCTTCCGGCGCGGCCGTGCTCGACGGCGCAGCGAGCGGCACGCTGCGCCGAACACATTTTCACCCTCATTTGCGTAGCGCGTGACGAGTTTGCGACGACTCCGTCGCGTCAGGGCGAGAGCAACCTTAGGGAAACGATCTGCCCCGCATCCGCGTTTCCGTTGGGAGCCCCAGGTTCCCCGTTACTGATTCCGAACGTAAGCCGCATTCCATCCGTCTAGTTGTTCTATCCGCGCTGCTGGGCCGTTCAAGACTCCATATGATTGAGTTGATAGGAAGTCCCACGTCGGACGCTCAGCCCGCCCTACCGACACGCCTCGTGTTGCGATGGAGAGTGGTGGTTGATGTGGAGGAGGCCTGGGTTGGGGAAGAGGAGGTGAAATTTGGGCCCCTGAAGTTCAGGCGCTCGATGGGCAGCGAGGTCTTGGGCGAGGCTCGCCCTCCCAAGCTTTTCCCCCGTTTCGCCGTCCTCCCTGCCTTCCTTTCTCCTCGCCGCTGCATCCTCGTCTTGCCTCCCTCCTCGCTCCATCCTCCCACTTCCCCTCTTCGTCTGCCGCCTCCCCTCCCGCAGCCTCTCTCCGCCCCGTTATCCGCTCATCCTCGCCCCCCCCCCCCCCATCCTCCGCATCCTCCGCTTCCTGCTTCCCTCCTTCCTTCCTCTGCCTCTGCCTTCCTCCCCTCCCTCCTCCCGCCGCCCTCCCTCCCCCCCACCTTCCTCCCTCCTTCCCTCGTTCCTCCGTCCTTCCTCCTTGCTCCCTCCGCTCCCTCCCCCCCGCCCTCCCTCCTCCCCCTGGAATCATCCGAGGGGCTGCGGCCCCGCCGTCGGCGCCTCCGAGGCGCGCGGCCGCGCGGTTGCGGATGTCGGCGCTCGCCGCGCCTCGCCTCCTCCCCCTTCGTCCGTCCTCCTTGGATCCCCCTCCTCCCCTGGTCCCCCTCCCTCCGTCCTCTACGGATTCCCCTCCCTCCGTCCTCTCTTGGATCCCACCTCCCCTCCGTTCTCCTCCGATCCCCCTCGCCTCCCCCCCCTCCCTCCGCCCTCTCCTCGCCTTCCTCCTCGTTCCCCTCCCTCCGTCCTCCGCCTTCCTCCTCGTCGCCCCCGACTCTCCGAGGACGGCTACCCGAAGCTCAAGGCGTACCATGCTCGCTTCTGCGCGCTGCCGCAGGCCAGTGGCCCCGCGGGGGCGGTGGGGAGCGCCTGCAGGAGAGGGGGGGGTCCAAGAGGGCAGGGAGGGGGATCTTGCTCACTTTGGCCACGTGATCCCTCCTCCTCCTCCTCCTCCTCCTTCTCCTCCTCCGTAGCCATTTTGGCTCAAGCCATTTTGGCTCAAGGCAGCTGGCCAGGTCAGCTTCGGGGGGCTCCCAGTGGCGGCCCGACACCACAGGCTGCTGGAGCTCCCCCTTCTGGGCCAGTGCCCCACACCTTTGCCAATACGAATCCTTCTCCGCAGATACGACTTTATTTTTCCGCATGGCTTCTGATGTCTCTGGCAGCTCTTCTGAAGGTCGAGGGGATCGCGATGAGCACAGCCGCAGCGGGGGCGAGGGGCGCCCGCGCCGCCGCGCTCGGCGCAAAGCCTGGGCTGATGCTGGCAGAGGCTCCACTGCTCGACCTGCCCAGCCCCCCCCACGTGCTCCTGCCCCTCGTGAGCGTAGTGAACGTGATCGACAGCGGCGCGGCGATGGACCTTGCAGCCTGGCAGCCCCACCGCAGTGGGCTGGAGCGGGCGGCAGCACTGGCTCTGCGGCGTCAGCCAGCGCGGCAGCAGCGGCCCCCCCTGCCCCAGATGCCCTCCAGGCATGCGATCCCTGGCGTGGTGCAGCGGCTGCGGTGCCACAGTTCTCCACTCAGGAGCTACGCGACATCGAGCGTGACTTCCAGGTGCTGGAGACGCAGGAGGACACAGCCACACCAACTGGCGGCACGGCCACGCCCTGCGCACCTGGCGCCAGAGCGAGCGGGACGCCCAGCACCGTCCAAGACAGCCTCCTGGAGCTGGTCCAAGCCCGCATGGACTCCACGGTCAGCCAGCTCAACACCATATGCACGCAGTCCCTGGCCACCGCCCACAAGGAGCTGGTGGGCGCAATGGCTGGCTACATCGACCCCGTGGTCAAGAATGTGGCCCACCAATCGAACGAAATCCACCAGCTCAAGCGACGCCAGACCGACTTGGAACAGAGCAATGTTGTCCTCCGCAAGCAGATCGGCGAGATCCGCGACCAGCTGGCGATGGCGGAGAAGGCCCTCCCAGCGACTGACCTGGCTAAGCTTGCCGAGTATGACCGCGAAGCTGACCCACTTCTCTTCTCGGCCAATTGCGGCTCAATGGTGGCCAGGAGCGCGGTCATGGCTAGCCTCTCAGAATGGTTCGGTGCCTCCACAGTGGCACCTGAATATCTGGAGCTTGTCGGTGGTGCGGAGGTCCCGTCCAAACGTTTCTTCCTTCGCGTTCGGGGTGATGCTGGCGTCGGCGGAGCCCGTGCCCTTGCGCTGGCTCGCGCGCTACGGCTCCCTGGAGGTAGCTGGAGATCCTTCCAAGTCAAGACACCTGACGGGCGCCTGGTACCCCTACACGCGGGAGCCGACAAAGCTCCTCGCCAGATTCGCCGAGAAATGCACACCAAGAGGCTCCTCTCCTTGCTGCAGCAGTCCTTCGCCACGGAACATCGCGACTGGACGGCCATCCGCCCGAAGGGCATCATCAGCGTCAATGCAGTACCCATCATCGAGGTGGTCCCCCAGGGCTTCCACGAGCCCTCGCGGATCTACTGGCACCCTGAGACCAGGCGCTACATCAATGACAACGAGCGGCAGCGGATCATCGACCAGTTCTGTGAGGCCACCACGTTCAACACGGAGGTGGATACCTCCACCTGGTCCTGTTCCTAGCCCACGCTGGACGCCCTGGGTGATGGCTGCTCCCCAGGGCCAAGGCTCCAGTGCAGCACAGGCGCTCCGCATTGCATCGTGGAATGCCCAAGGACTCCTTTGCCAGCGCGCACATCGCCGCAATAGCAAGATGCAGCGACTCTGCAAGCTCCTCCAGATGCGCATGCTGGTTGTCGTCCAGGAGGCGCACGGGTCCGAGATCAAGTTGCAGACGCTGGTGAACCAAACTCCATACCACTACCGAGCCATCATGTCGGCGGGCGACTCCCCTGGGGCTGGCGGCCTCGCCTTCCTGATCCCGTGGTTCTCTGAGGCGGAGCTTGCGACGATGGACCCACAGATGCTCCCTTCCCTCTCCTTGGACCCTGTGATTGATGGTCGCGTCGCGGTCCTCACTATCAGCAATTCGACTAACAACGAGCACATCAAAATCATGAATGTCCACAACCACGAGCTGCCCACGGCCAAACTCCCTCTCGTGCGCCGTCGCTGGCTTGACGGAGCTGCATGGGCTCAAAGTGACGAACGGCACCGCATTTTCATCGCAATTGGGGACTTCAATATCGCTGACATTGAACCGGTGCACCTCTCTTCTCCGAGAGCGGCTTCGGCTTCGGCACCTACACGGGGCGCCGGGCGACGGAGAACGTCTGCTACTTCTTCCTCTTCCTCGTCCTCTACATCGTCCTCCTCCTCCTCGGAATCTGCTGCGGAGATGGCTTTGGGAGACGACCGACGAGCTGGTGGCAACAGCCGATCGGTCTGGCACCGTGGCAATCAGGCGCAGAGCTTCTGGCGCAACCTCTTCCAACGGGACCTGGTGGAGGTGGTGAGCGAGCTACCCACCCACTACTCCAAGCGCCACCAGTCATGCACGTTCATTGACAGGGCCTTCATCTCCTTGAAATCGCACTTCCTCTTGGACACCTCCATCGCCTTCGAGGTCTGGCAGGAGGCGACCTCACTGGCGGACTGGGGCCTCAGCGACCACGCCATCATTCAGCTGCGGATCCAGCCACGTGCCGCGGCTGCTCCCGACGATCGTGCGATCCCCCAGAGCGTCTTCCATTCGCCGCGGTTCGCCGAGCATGTCACTAACCTGCTCAACCATTCCGACTTCACGAACCTAGCGGAGGAGAATCGCTGGGCCGAGGTGAAGCTGCAGATGATCGAAGCTGCTCGCATCACCCGCAATGAGCTCCAGGCCCTCCCTCTTGGCGATGGCCATGCTGAGGCCCTCGAAGGCCGCAGAATCTCGACACGGGCGATTGCGAGAGCCATATGGAGGCAGGACCTGCACCTCGCGCACAAGCTGATCCACTCCACTGCCATGGGCCGTCAGCACCTCACCATCGACGGAGACAACCGCATCCTGCTGGTCAATCCCCCCGCATTTGAACGAGAGCGCATGGACCTTCATCTCGCCTGGCATGAACGCCAGCAAGCTGCAGCGGCCGCCCGACTTCGTGAACACGCACAGCTGCAGCTTGACGCGGGCGACCCCACCATCCAACAGATGCGGAAGATACAACGTGCTGCACAACGGCGAGCCCTTCTTTGGATTCCTTACCGTCGTCGGCTGGTGCTCAAGGGTCTTCGCATGGATGGTGAGGGACACCAGGCGGGCATCGAGCGTCACCCGACCATGATCATGGATGGCTTGCGTCAGCATTGGCAGCCTGCCTTCACAGATCACCCTGTCGACATCGACGCGGTCGACGATTACCTGCGCACTCACCTCCCTGAGTTTGACAGCCCAGCTCTGGAGGTTCCTTCCCCAGCTGTTCTTCGAGCTGCGCTGCTTCGTGCCAAGCCCACCGCCCCTGGGCCTGACCGACTTCCTGCGGCTGCCTGGCTGGCGGACCCACGGTTGGTGGACATCCTCTACGACATGATGATTGGCCTGTACCAGGGCAGGGGTGCGCCACATGGCTTCAACTTCGCTGACATGGTCTTCATTCCCAAGGGCGACGAGCCCTCGGACTCCGTGGAGGTGGTCCGCCACGCATCGAAGCTTCGACCTCTGAGCCTCAAGAACTGTGATGCCAAGGCAGTGGCTAGTGCAGCGAATCGTGCACTCGCCCCACTCGCGGCAGCACGAGTGCATGAAAGCCAGCAGGGCTTCGTGCGCGGACGGAACTTCCTGTCTCACGTCGTCCGTCAGGATGCGGTCGCTCGTGCTGCCAGCCACCACCCTGAGCTGTCCCCCCTCTTTGTCTCCTTTGACCTCCGTGCTGCGTTTCCCTCCCTTTCCCAACCCTTCCTCTGGCGAGTGCTCGAGCGTCACCGCATCCCGAAGGGCTTTCTTAATGTAATCTGTGCCTTGTACTCTGGGGCTCTCGCCCACTCCCGATGTGGAGCATCCCGCCGCCCACTCTTCCTGGTGACGTCTGGCGTGGCCCAGGGCTGCCCCCTCTCAGGCACGATTTGGGCCCTGTCCATGGACCCCTTCGCCCGCCACATCCAGTCTCAGTTAGCGTCGCCCGCGGCATTGGCCCTCTGCCCGAGCCCCGAGCGTTGGTGCCCACGGCTAGAGCCTGAGTGCGGTGTGACGGCGGATGACGTTGGTGCCGCTCTCCCCTCGATTCGACTTCTCCCCCTGCTCGTCCCACCCTTCACCGCCGCCCGCACGCTGGCGAACCTCGAGCTCCAGCCGAAGAAATGCTGCGCCGTTCCACTGGCTGAAGAATGCACGCCCTGTGTTGCCGCACGAGTGAGCGCGAAGATAACTGCTCTGGCCCCTGAGTGGGCTTCCTTTCACGTCCGCGGCTGCACTCCGTTCTTGGGATTCGCGTTTGGACCAGGGGCGTCTCTCGCGGATCAGTGGACCGACCCAATTCGTAAGTGGCGACGACGCACAGCCGAAGTCGCACTCAGCAGGACTCCAGCAGAAGCCAGCTGCCGAGTATATAACTTCGGCATCCTCTCAGTCCTGAGCTACGTCTGTCAGCTCTACCCCCCTCCTCCCGACCTCCTTCGCTCCGAGCGTCATGTCCTCCACCGCCTCCTCCGCCTCCCCCCGAATGCCTTCGGCCTGGGGGAGCTCCTGGGCCTTGGCTCCTGGCTTCGCTCCTCGGTCCCCAGGTCCGTGCGGGTTCTGGCCGGGGCCTCCGCCTGGCGGACCGCGGCGTCCTCCCTTCCCAGGGATGGCCCCAGGGGCTGGAGCCAGGCTTTGGCGATCCTGCGGGCCCAGGCCGAGATGCACGGACCACTCCAAGCTCTAGGCTCTCGAGGGCTCTCGAGCGCTGCGTGGCGTCGCTCGCTCTCAATCGT